ATTCTACTTAAACATGATTTTAACATGAATTTAAATCTTGCGACATTTAACGGTAGTGTTGCGACATTTAACGGTAAGGGAAATTCGTGCGACATTTAACGTTAACATTGCGACATTTAACGGCAAATGATTTTGCGACATTTAGCGGCGGTTGCGACATTAAGCGTCAATGGTGCGACATTTAGCGGCAAGTGCGACATTTAGCGGCGTTGCGACATATAACGGCGCCACAAACTGTTATAGTTTTCAAAAGTTAATTATTTGGTCAATTATCTGTACCATTTTCGTCATGTGTTTTTCGGCAAATAGTGAAGTTAAAGTAATTAAGTATTGTGTATGAAAGTCAAATACTACTTTGTTTACATTTTAATAAACAATGAAATGATTGGTTTACTCAAATTATTTGTTATTCTCAATGCTGACGATACTGTCATATTATCCGAATCACCTGTTGATTTTCAAAATGCCATAAATTTATATCAAACGTATTGTGATAGTTGGAAATTAACAGTTAACACATCAAAAACTAAAGTCATTGTATTTTCGAAAGAAAGACCTGTACAATATATTTTTACTTATAAGAATGAGAATTTAGAAATAGTTGATGAATTTCAATATTTAGGCGTAACGTTTAGCAGAAGTGGTTGTTTTGTTAAAGCAAAATCTCAAATAGCTAATCAGGCTACTAAAGCGGTGTACTGTGTAATTAAGAAGTCGAAAAATCTGCAGTAACCAATAGATATGCAAATTGATTTATTCGATAAATTAGTAAAGCCAATCTTATTATATGGTTGTGAGTGCTGGGGGTTTGGTACAATTCCATACTAGAAAAAGTTCAACTGAAATAATTATCTAAAACATATATTGGGTCTTAAATCAAGCACACCCAACTGTATTGTATATGGTGAAACAGATGTCAAGCCATTACACTTTGAGATTTATACAAGAATGATAAGCTTTTGGTCAAAACTTGTTGTACCAATAGATTTTAAACTGACATGTTCTTTGTATAATGTAATGCTTTAAAATTTTAGTAACAGTGTCAATGTTAACCAACAATCATTTAAATGGATCTTACATATACGACAAATACTTATAAATTGTGGTTTATTGAACATATGGGATACCCATGAATTTCCAAATCATAAATGGTTAGTTGCTTGTGTTAAACAGAAATTGTCTGATTTATATTTGAATGAGTGGTATTCTATTGTTAGTAATTCTAGTAAATGTAAAAACTACCGATTATTCAAGGCAACGTTCAAATTCGAATCGTACTTAGTAAATACACCTCATTTCCAGCTTAGATATGTTATTAAATTTCGAACTCGTAATAATAGACTTCCAGTAGAAACAGGAAGCTGGAATAGGACAGAACTTCACCAGTGAAAGTGCACACTTTGTAACTGTCTTGGTAGCATAGGTGATGAATTTCATTATCTATTAGAATGTAAAGAATTTTCTGCACTTAGAAAAAGGCATTTAGATCACCAATATATAAGAAATCCTAATATTATGTTATTTAAATCTGTTATGAATATAGATACATAACATTATGATAAGTACAAGCAGTTTTGTTTATTTGTTAAAGAAATAATTATTAAATTTGATATTAGATGAAGTTGCAATCTGATGTAAATCTTAGAATTATTACAAAAATGTGTGCTTTGATATTAAGATCTGTCGCATATTAAACATTTTTACAACTAATATTTAAGTAACGGAAGTTTAAGATCATGTTATTTGGGTATTTGACTGATCTCTTTAGCAAAGCATATATTTGTAACATGATTGCTATTTAATTTGAACATATGGAATACAAAATGTCTCTCCCTCGTATGAAAATACGAGATATGTCTATGCAAGTTATATATGCCTCTATAGTTTATTATGTAAATATGCTATAGCTCATATTGTCATGTTATTCATGAACTGAGTATTAAATAAACTTGTAAACTTGTTATAACTATATGAGATATATATGCACTTTCATCGCTACTATTTTATTAGATGAACATCTATTATGCTTAAAAACTTGTGTATCCATTTCTAAAGAGGTAATGTGCCTTTAAATGTACATGTATATACAGATGATATTTACATAACATTCGGATCACTAATAATTTTCCGGTCAATTTTCTAATCTTCACGTACATACACAAACCACGTAGTTTTTTAACGAACATATTTGCATTTCATTCATTATGTTTAAAGAAGAGAAATCCAGTATGTTCATATTTGCTTATCAATCATTTATATTAATTTGTTCACGGGAAAATTAAAACTTGATCTTGAACCAGGCACTTTATGTTCAGATCTATTTCCATCGAATATTGAAACAAGGGAGAACAATTAGTGTTCGTTACGTTTTGGTTTCATTTTGTTTTATAGTGCTATATTATTGCGGTATAGGCATTATCTTGAAACCGTTCCTTGAACCTACCAGTACTAAGCAATGACTGTAAAGTTTCTTGCTCAAGGAAACAACTGCTTGCCCCTA